TAGAAAAAGGAACCTTCTGGCACTGCTGGTGGGAATGCAGACTGGTGCAGCCACTGTGAAAAACACTATGGAGTATCCTTAGAAAATTAAAGATTGAACTTTCATTTGATTCAGTAATCCCACTTCTAGGAATATATCCCAAGGAAACAGAAACAGCAGTCAGAAAGGATATATGTATCCCTATGTTCATAGCAGCACAATTCACCATAGCTAAGATTTGGAAACAGCCTAAGTGCCCATCAGCAGATGAGTGGATTAAAAAACTAGGGTACATCTACACAATGGAATACTTACTACGCTGATGTAAAAAAGAAAGAACTCTTAAAATTGGCAACAGTTGTCAAGGGGGAGAGGGGAAGGAGACATGTGTAATACTCTTTGTAATACTTTAATAAAAAAATAAAAAGATTGGCAACAGTTGCCCTAACCGGTTTGGCTCAGTAGATAGAGCGTTGGCCTGCAGACTGAAAGGTCCCAGGTTCGATCCGGTCAAGGGCATGTACCTTGGTTGCGGGCAACATCCCTAGTAGGGGGTGTGCAGGAGGCAGCTGATCAATGCTTCTCTCTCATCGATGTTTCTAACTCTCTATCCCTCTCCCTTCCTATCTGTGAAAAAATCAATAAAATATATATTTAAAAAAAATTGGCAACAGCATGGATGGACCTGGAAAGCATTATGCTAAGTGAAATAAGCCAGCTGGAGAAAGATAAATATCACACAATCTCACTCATTTGTGGAATATAATGAACAATATAAACTGATGAACAAAAATAGATCCAGAGAAAGAGAAGCATCGAACAGACCATCAAACCTCAGAGGGAAGGCAGGGAGGATGGGAGGAGGGAGGCGTAAGAGATCAACCAAAGGACTTGTATGCATGCATATAAGCATAACCAAATGGACACAAACACTGGGGGGATGAGGGCATGTTCTAGGGGGTGGGAGTTGCCAGGGAGAGGTCAATGGGGGAAAAAGGAGACAATATGTAATATTTTAAACAATAAAGAATTAAATATTTTTTATCTGAAACAGACTTCAGAATGATGGTAAGATGCTCAACAGCATGAGAAAAGATATAACTATGAAAAAAGAATAGTGGGAAATAAAGAATGACATAGCACAAATAAAGAACACATTGGAAGGCATACACAGCAGATTAAAGGAAGCTGAGTACCGAATCAGTGAATTAGAAGACAGGGTTGAAAAAAATCACTCAATCAGTGAACCAAAAAGAAAAAAATTAATTAAAAAACAGGAGATCTTAAGAGAGCTGTGGGACAACATGTGTGCCAGAAGAGGTAGAAAGGGAGGAAGGGATAGAGAATGTGTTTGAAGAAATAATAGCAGAAAACTTCCCTAACCTGGTAAAAGAAAGTCACACAAGTACAGGAGTTACAGAGAACCCCAAACAAGAAGAACCCAAACAGGCCCATGCCCAGACACATCATAATGAAAATGCCAAAAATCAGAATAAGAAACTTGAGATCAAGGCTAGCTAGCTTGTCCACACTACAAGTCCTATAAACAGCAAATTTCTATAAATTGATTATCTAAAAATCCCCACAAACGGGCTCTCCTATGTCATGAAACTGTTGGCCGATATGGAAATGCAAAGCATGCCAACACAAAAGAAAGAAAATTTAAAAAAATTTCAACTGAGCCCTGTGGGTTTGGCTCAGTGGATAGAGCCTTGGCCTGTGGATTGAAGGGTCCTGGGTTTGATTCTGGCCAAGGGCACATGCCCAGGATGTGGGCTGAATCCCCAATAGGGGGTGTGCAAGAGGCAGCCAATCAATAATTCTCTCATGATTGATGTTTCTCTCTCTCTATCCCTCTCCTTTCTTTTCTGAAACCAATAAAAATATATTAAAAAAATTTTTCAACTGACTCATGTACTTTCATTAACCTCAATAAAATTTTTATAACCTGAATTTTATTACATACCATTATAGTTATAACTTATTAAGATCAACTCGAAGGTTTCTTTAAAGTTGGAGACCCTTGGAAACAGCATGGAGTAATACCATTCATTTTTATTAAGCACTTGTTTCTCAAGGAATTGTGTTAGTTTCTTTACTTAAATTCTCAGTTCAGTGTTGTATTGGAATATTACGTTAACTAATGTCTCAGGCATCACTATTAGCCTAACTTCTGCTGACCCCTTACTGTCATAAAAAATCTCTACCTTCTTGCCCTGGCTGGTGTGCCCAGGGCAGTGATTAGAGCATCGGCCCAGGCACTGAAGGGTCACTGGTTCCTGGCCAAGGGCACATACTTGGGTTGCAGGTTTGCTCCCTGCCCCCGGTTGGGGCAAGTGCAGGACACAACCAGCTGATGAATCTCTCTCATAACGACGTTTCTCTCTCCCCCTTCCTTCCCTCCCTTCTACTCTCTCTGAAAAGCAATGGAAAATATATCTTCAGGTGAGGATTAACAACCAGAACATACTTCTCCACCTGCTGTCTTACTAGCAGAACTACAGTTTTATGGAGTGAAATAATATACCAAGCTCAGGAAATGAATCTTGACTGATCTAAGTAAATCATGGCAATCCTGTCGTTTAGATCAGTGGTTCTCAACCTTCCTAATGCCGCAACCCTTTAATACAGTTCCTCATGTTGTGGTGACCCCAACCATAAAATTATTTTCGTTGCTACTTCATAACTGTAATTTTGCTACTGTTATGAATCGTAATATAAGTATCTGATATGCAGGATGTATTTAGGCGACCGCTGTGAAAGGGTCGTTCGACCCCCAAAGGTAGTGGTTCTCAACTTTCCTAATGCCGTGACCCTTTAATACAGGTCCTCACGTTGGCGTGACCCCCAATTTCATTGTTATAAATTGAACATAATTAAAGCATAGTGATTAATCACAAAAAACAGTATGTAATTATATATATGTTTTCCCAATGGTCTTAGGCGACCCCTGTGAAAGGGTTGTTCGATCCCCAAAGGGGTCACGACCCACAGGTTGAGAACCGCTGGTTTAGATTTTCATGAAACTGTTTTTCCAGCTTCCCTTGCAAGTAGGACCAGCTTATGACCAATGAGACGTTGAGTTAATCTGGACCTTCAGGAAATTTTCCAGTCTGCTATATTTCCATGCTCCTTCCTCTGAACCCAGGTCTAGTATATGGCTAGTGCCATCTTATACTAAATGGAAAGAGCTTAAATTTGGGAGTTAGATATACATGGATATGAATCTCAATTTAGTTCCCGAGCTATCCAGGGCAATATCCTTATTTCTGTGGAACGTCACTTTTGTCACTTGTCAACCCCTTCCCCGGCAGAAACGTGTATACTCGTTTTCACAAAATGTTCTTTTTCAGTCGTCGACGAGTATACTAAGAAAATATGGTTAAAAAATATGGTTTATAGGAAGACGAGTTACAAACTGTTTTCATAACCAGCATCAAAAATACTATATAGAACCAAAATAAAAAAATTAGTCTGAAAAAGAAACGTTTTTAACAAAAAAATTGTTGGGGAAGGGGTTAAAATAGGCAAAAGTATCTATGATAGAACAATGGAATAAGGGATAAACAATGAAGGTTTGAAAAGTTCATGGAGCCTATAGTGGGGTTCAATAAGTGGGATTCCTTATCTAATTAAATTTAATGAAAACATCCCTGTCACGCCAATCAACACTCACCGTGGCACACAAAACCTGTGATTCCATGCCCTCCACCAAGTCATTTTGATTTAATGCTCAGCAGAAAGAACACATTTGTGATGGCAATTTTTTTTTCTTTTCAGAAGCCTAGTTGTTAGAGATAAAGAACCACATATTATATAGGTAGTTGACAAATTTCCTTTTACTTGTTTTTATATCCACATGATTGTAAAAAAGCCAACAGTGCGAATGGCCACTTTGGTAAAAACACACAGTGTTCAAACCTAGAAAGATTACATTCTTTGGACGGGTTTTATTCCCAGGATATCGAACCCTTTGGCCATGACAGCAGTCACTGCTTCACACAGCAGCATACGGCCCATGTTCACCTTCAACACTTTTCCTGAGAAGACAGAACAACAAAGATAGTAATTAATTTGTTTTTCATTTTGAAAATCGTTATTAAAGGATCTATGTTACTTCTGGATTTTACTGAGAATTGAATAGCCCAACCCATAGATTGGGCTTTAACTAGAATCACCTTTACCTTAAACTACAGAAACAATCGAACTAAAGGTGTTTCTGTTCAAGCCCGAGCTGGTTTGGCTCACTGGATAGAGCGTCGGCCTGGGGAGTGAAGGGTCCCAGGTTTGATTCCGGTCAAGGGCATGTACCTTGGTTGCAGGCACATCCCCAGTAGGGGGTGTGCAGGAGGCAGCTGGTCGATGCTTCTCTCTCATTGATGTTTCTAACTCTCTATCCCTCCCCCTTCCTCTCTGTAAAAAATCAATAAAATATATATTTTAAAGGTGTTTCTGTTCAAAAAGTCTCTTTTTATCTGATAACTAGAGGCCCGGTGCACAAAATTCATGCGGGGGACGCGGGGGGGAGAAAAGGGTCCCTCAGCCCGGCCTGCACCCTCTCGCTATCTGGGACCTTTTGGGGGATGTCTGACTGCAGGTTTAGGCCCGATCCTGCAGGGATTCCTGCGGATTGAGCCTAAACTGGCAGTTGGTCATCCCTCTCGCAATTCGGGACCCGCTGGCTCCTAACTGCTCGCCTACCTGCTTGATCACCCCTAACCACTCTGCCTGCCTGATCAGCCCTAACCACTTGCCTGCCTGCCTGATCGCCCCTAACCACTCACCTGCCTGCATCATTGCCCTTAACCCACTCTGCCTGCCTCATCACCCCTAACCACTTGCCTGCCTGCCTGATCGCCCCTAACCACTCACCTGCCTGCCTGCCTGCCTGATCGCCCCTAACTATTCTGCCTGCCTGCCTGATCGCCCCTAACTGCTCGCTGGGGGGCAGGGCCGTTCTGGTGTCTGGTTGTTCTGGTCATTCTGCCATTTCAGTCACTGGGCTTTTTTTTCTTCTTTTTTTGGGCTTTTATTATATAGGATAAGACAACAGATACAAGATTTGAAATTATTACAAGTGTAAATTTCATCTTCCCATTTAAAATTTAAGAGTTCTTTCCCAGGCCTTAAGGTCTTACGTAAGTATAAACTTTAATACCACGATAATGGTGAGATGTTTTTTCTTAATAAAGTTTCAGTTCACAGGCATGAACCTCAGAAATATCTACTTGCCCTGTGACATATTAATTCACTCTATTTCAATAACTTTGTAACATGACAGAGCAGAAAGCCTAAGATAAAAAAATATATAATTCCCCCCACCCCAAGGGCAGTTTTGCATTATTAAGAACCCCCAAAGACTTGTCCTGGAACCCTCAGCCACACTGAAATTATCCCATTCCTAGTGAATGGTCTTCTAATTGTTTCCTTTGGAGACTTATGGTTTTATACCATGTGCCCAGGGGTGGGAAAACTATAGACTATATCGAAATGGAAAGAATTCCATTTATGCTTTTATTAGAGCTAGTGCAATTTTGTCATTATATATGAAAACCACCTATACCCAATTCAAATAAATGCCTTTAGGTGTCCCTTCTGCAATGTGACCAGCGGACATGGCACTTACCAGTTTGCCGATCTTTCTCCACACAATAGCAGTTATCATAAAATTCAGTGAAAGTAGTTGCCAGCTCATAGATATAATCACAGAGAGTGTGGAGAAACAGGTCATCCAAAATCTTTTGCAGAATCTCAGGGAACCGTAGGATACACCGGCCCAGTTTCCATTCCTTCTCGTGGTCCAAGGTGATCTCGGTCTCTCGAGCGGCTTTCCGGAGCATCTCTTCATCAATATTGGCCAGACGAGCAATAGACCTGGAAAATCAGGCAATACCAACCACCACCATTCCTCTGTTAGGCACATTCTCCTTCACGTGAAAACATGGAATAAGAAGTGACTGATATATTATAAGAACTGTCATTTTGGGTTCAAACAAGACAATGCTGTACCCACAATTACCTGATTCTGGTGAAGGCATACAACAAGTAAGCAGCTGTGTTTCCTCTATCGTCCAGCATTTTGTCAAAGGAGAAGATGTAGTCATTCAACCGGTTATGGGAGAGATCAGCATATTTGATACAGCCGTAAGCAACGGATGTCTGAGCAGCCTTCAGTTCCTCTGGGGTTAGAACCTTTTGGAGAAACAAAAACAAGCCTCACAGCTTACTGACCACTGCCTTTGTCCTGGTGTCTCATGGGCAGAATAGGGAGCATCTATTGATGCTCCTTTATCACTGAACTGTGGAACAACATGAGCCCATCCACAAAGAAAATAATGAAAATACAACTCATCATACTACGCATAACAAAGAATGTTTCTATGAGAAACTTGATATGTAAAGTATAAGGTGTCAGTTTGAATTTTTTTCCAATGTATTCAGGAGATATAAAAGTGAAATCAATTAGTAAGTTATACCCACTTCATTCCATAAAGATTCTGAGGTAGCAGAGAGCAAACAAGACAGTAAAATAAAAACTAAAAATTAGGGTAAAGTAATTAATTGAAATCAAAACGGTGTCAAAAGTAGGAGGAAGAATTCATGTAGTTTTGCCAGTATCTGGTCATACATTTTTTTAAATTTAATGTATTTTTATTGATTTCAGAGAGGAAGGGAGAGGGAGAGAGAGAATAGAAACATCAATGATGAGAGAGAATCATTGATCAGCTGCCTCCTGCATGGCGCTAACTGGGGATTGAGTCTGCAATCCAGGCCATGTGTCCTGATTGGGAATAAAAATGTGACCTCTTGCCCTAGCTGGTTTGGCTCAGTGGATAGAGCCTTGGCCTGCGGACTGAAGTTTCCCAGGTTCGATCTTGGTCAAGGGCATATGCCAGGGTTTGCGAGCTCGATCCCCAGTAGGGGGCAAGCAGGAGGCAACCAATCCATGATTCTCTCTCATCACTGATGTTTCTGTCCCTCTCTCTCCCTCTCCCTTCCTCTCTGAAACAGATTTTTTTTTTTAAAAGGTGTGACCTCCTGGTTCATAGGTCGACGCTCAACCACTGACCAACTCTGGCCAGGCTGGTCACACATTCTGAACTATTATTAGGCCACAAGTAAGTAATTAAAGATTTCTGTTCTGAACTTGATTAAGTAGCTTATAGTAGACCAGTGATGGAGAACCTTTTGAGCTCAGCATGTCAGCATTTTGAAAAACTCTAACTTAACTCTGGTGCCGTGTCACATATAGAAATTTTTTGATATTTGCAACCATAGTAAAACAAAGACTTATATTTTTGATATTTATTTTATATATTTAAATGCCATTTAACAAAGAAAAATCAACCAAAAAAATGAGTTCGCCTGTCACCTCTGACACGTGTGTCATAGGTTTGCCATCACTGTAGTAGACTAACCTTTACACCAGAAGCAACTATTTAAAAGCTGGATACCCTTAGCTCGTTTGGCTCAGTGGACAGAGTGTCAGCCTGCAGACTGAAGGATCCTGGGTTTAATTCTGGTCAAGGGCGCATGCCTGGGTTGGGGGCTCGATCCCCAGTAGGAGGGTGTGCAGGAGGCAGCTGATCTATGATTCTATGTCATCATTAATGTTTCTCTCTCTCTCTCTCTCTCTCTCCTCTCCCTCTCCCTTCCTCTCTGTAATCAATAAAAAATAAATAAAAACTGGATAAATTAACTCGGAAGCTAGAAGACAATGGAACATTGTTTTTAAAATGCTGAAAGAGCCCTGGCTGGTGTGACTCAGTGGTTGAGTGTCGTTCCATGCACCAAGAGATCGTCGGTCGATTCCCAGTTGGGGCACATGTCTGGGTTGTGGGCTTGATCCCCAGTAGGAGGCATGCAGGAGGCAGGCCTATTGGTGTTTCTCTCTCCCCCTTCCTCTCTCTCTAAAAAACATAATAAAAATGAAATGCTGAAAGAACAGCTGACAAACTGGAATCTTATACCCAATAAAAACATCCAAACTGAAGGCAATATAAAGATGCTTTCAGACAACTACTGACAAAATTTGTCACTAGCAGACTTGTACTATACACACACACACACCCAAAATGCTAAAAGGAGACGTTCTGACTGAAGAAAATAATCCTAGGTGGAAGTAAAAAAACTGCAGGAAGGAATAAAGTACACAGGAAAGCTAAATGTGTGGATAAATAGTAATAAACATTTCCGGTTTAAAACAAACACTGAGCAGAAGACTGAACAAACCCTTCACAAAAGAAAATATATAAATGGCTAATAAGCATATGAAAAGTTAGTCAACATCATTGCTCATAGGGAAATGTAAATTTTAACCACAGTGAGATGCCACTACACACAAAAGAAAGGCTAAAAACAGACAAATCAAGTGTTGGTGAGGATGAGGCAAGTGGAATAATCATATATTACGGGTGGGAGCTCCTTGGAAATTTTTAGTAAAATTAAGTATAAGCCTCCCTGTTGTGTTGCCTATTCTGATGGCTCATCAGTGGCCTTGGGTGGTAGTCTGCTATGACTATTCTACAAATGCTCCCAGAGAAAGGAGCTCAGCAGATGCAGATTGGAGACTCAAACTGCCCCAGTCTGCAATACTTTCCCATCACTGGTTCAAAGCAATGCCGGGGAAACTACCAATAAGAAGCAGAGATACTATGCCACATTAACAAAGAGGCCATGTTTTGTAAACGCCAAAACTGTATTTTCAAAATAAATATTCAGCAACTCACAAAACAAACTTACTGTGCAATAAGATCTGAGTAATAAAGCCTGTTGTAAATGGACTGACTCCTTCCCAGTTCTATCGATAAAACAAAAACAAAATCACAACACAATGCATGGTACACCATATGCACATAGGCCTTGAATTACCTTGTCTCTTTCTTTTTCCTTCAATTTGTCCATGGATCGTTTTAGTCCTTCTTCCAAAAGGTCTATGAGGCGCACTGTTTCACCTGAACGTGTTTTGAACTTCTTTCTAAAAAAATTTATTGAAATTCCTAATTATATAGATTTTGAAACAGACCCGACTTAGAAATCTTTGAAAATGAAGGTTTGATACTGCCCTATTCCAGTTGGTAATCAGGGAAGATGCCAAAAGAAACAAACAGATACTTTCAAGTGTCCTTCCTCTATAGCCCTTAGCTTAAAGCATTCTATGCATTAGGTTCCTAATAGCATTCTCGACATGTTCATCTTTAATACATCCCCTAAGATGGAAAACAGCATTTGTTATTTTGTCTATTTTCCTGAACACTAAGTTTGGCTTAGCTGTTTTACTTTCTTAGTAAAATTATTAATAAAATACACATTTGGGAAGTAGGTGAATTCTTAACTGGAATCTCATTTGCATTTCTCTATTCAGTAACCAACCCTGAATGCTTATTATAATCAGGTGGAGAGCTTAAAAAACGCTTAAAACACAACAATGCTATAAATGAAACATGTTTTTCTATCTCTCACAAAGCCTATCAAAATAATTGTGATACTTCCCATTAAAGTTTTATTTTCAGAATTGCCTTAGAAAGGATCTTCCTGCCCTAGCCGGTTTGGCTTAGTGGATGGAGCATCAGCCTGCAGACTGAAGGGTCCCAGATTGATTCTGGTCAAGAGCATATGCCCAGGTTGTGGGCTCGATCCCCAGTGGGGGGCGTGCAGGAAGCAGCTAATCAATGATTCTCTCATCATTGATGTTTCTATCACTTCTCCCTCTCCCTTCCTCCCTGAAAAAAAAAAAAAAAGAAAAAGAGAAAAAAAAAGGATCTCCTTGCCCTTTATCATAGAATTGAAACACCTTTATTATCCCAGAATTCAGGAAATACTGCATGGCTTTCCTTATGCCATCCCCTCTTTGAGTGTCCAACAACTTGCAAATCTTGTCTGATGAAATGATATCCATTATAAAGCCTAGTCAAAGGGCTAAGGGAAGTCTTCCTTACCATCACCACTTTGAAAGAATTGGTCTTTTTTGTTGCTTCCTACCTGGGTAAATGTGGCAGCCTACCATATTTAAATATTTACACTAAAATGCTCGGAGATTCTGCCACCTATTTTTTGTTGAGATTTTTCAGCTTTAAGACATTTTACAATAAACAATTTATTGTTTTATTTATCACCCCTGTTATTCCTTGGATGCCTGTTTATTGAGCACCTGCTGTGAATGCATCAGCTGGATGCTCGAAGGTGTGTAGATGAAGGTACCCAGAACGTGGCTTCTTCCCTGAAGGAGCCTATCATCTGAAGCAGAGCAATTCTCTGTGGAGCCAGTTCAAGTGGTTAACTATCACTGAAATTCGTCTTCATTTTTAATGGTCTAGGATGCCATAATTACAAGATGCTGAGAGTGCAGAAATGTAAAACCACCACACAAAAACCCCTTAGCTATTACATGATAAGGAAGTTAAATGTCAAGATATATTTTGGTGGTAAACATAAAAACTAAAAGCCAATTTAATGATGTCACCTAACTATAGGAATAATCATCTAAATGTTCATCCAAAAATTCAACAGTTAAGAAACTAAGATGCTATAAGCAACACTCAACTCACTGGTTAGTTTCTCAGCACTTTCTTAGGACCATGAGCATCATGAGGTCCCAGTTAAGTGTTTTCTGATTCCAAAAATGTGCAGCTCTTCAGAAGGTTCATACACTATAATTAAAACATGTTTGCTGTTGATGCCGAGGCCTTTGATCTCCAGATAATCTGCATCTAAAATAATACTTTGACACACCTATCTGTCTTTTATGTTAATTGGGGCTTTTGTACACTGGCCAGTCAAGCATTTTGAGCTAGAGCTACTTCATGTGGTTATTGTAAGCATTACTGTCTTTGTTTAATGGTAGTATTTGCGCTGTGTCACCAAATCTAAAATGCCACAGATTTTAAAGACATATTAATTAAATAGCTAAGGAATCTCTATTGGATATAAAATGTTAAAAAATTTTGTGCCTTGGAATTGATGAACACTCTATATAAATATTTGCTTATATTTACCTTTTTATCATAAAAGTTAATCAGAATGTGGGGAAAGAACAGGATTATAGAAAAACTGAAAGTATAGACAGTAACATGTCTCAAAAATACTTGAGATAAGCATAAAAATGGAAGCTGTGAACCTTAAAACTCAGACATTTACAAAATGCTTGAAATATATTGTTGAATATTTTGTTGGAAATCTAAGGAGGTACTCTGATAGAATTTATAATTTAGATCTGTGGGAATGAAACTATTAATTCTATAATTTGGTTTTCTTTCAACTTTGTATAAATCCCTCTAAAAAGTTACATCCTCTGGCAGTGATAAGACATACATACAAAACAGCTCAGCTGGGTTCACCCTTAGAACACATGTAGATTTTAAAAAGTGTGGACTTTTAAAATTCTAACATGGTATCAAATGAAATATAGCTTCTTCCAAAGAAATTTGGGCCCTTAGGCTTTCCAGACTTACTTGTCTTCCCCCAGCACCACACCAAATCCAGCATGATACACCCGAGTTACTTTAGGGTCATACCAACCAATCATTTGGCCAGCAGCAAATACTGTCTGGAAGTGCACAGCCTACAAAGGAACAGAAATAGAAAGTTACTTGGTAAGCTTTCTAATAATAAAAAGACTTACAGCTCTTATGCTAAGCATAAAGGTTTATAAAATTCAAATCACTCACAAATCTTGTAAGGCAAGCGTAATATACTAGTGAAAGCTATTTTTATTACCTCCAGATGAGAAACAGTAAGAGCAGGACTGGTACACTTTCTATGTCCAAAGGTTTTTAAAGCAACTGAATTTAGGGCAGGTTCATGTACACTAATTTCAGTTAAATTTTCTGTCACACAACACCATTTCAGTTGGGAATGGTCACTGAGGTTCAGAGAAGTAACAGTTTCCTGTTTATGGAGACAAGCTGAAAAGCAGGGAAGTGTCCAAGTATGGCCAAACCCAAACCGTGTTTTTTCTCCTATGTTATAAATGATGTTCTGAATGTCAGTCTTTGGGGAAAATTTAGTCTTCAAGTGCCAAATGCCACAAACCTCACCAGACCGTCTCATCTCTAATCAATATAAGAAAATATACGAATCTACAAACTCACTTGTCCACTGTCCACCACGTAGATAATTGTATTTGCTTTTTCCTCAATTAGTCTTTGTTTAAGAGCAGCCAGGTCAGATGTATCATAGGTATAACCTCCATCGGACTTCACTATGGTTAAAGGTATGGAACATCCTGGGACAAATACAATCTTTCTGCCATCATCCACTTGCACAAATCCTAGAAGAATAATCTTTATTAATAATGTTAAAAGAACCCTGAAAGAATATAAATGCTTAGCCATTATAGGATATTTATTAGAGAGCTCAGACATTACATGATTTTTTTCTCTCCGTGACCTATGCATCTTGCAAAATGGCTACTGTCAAGGTTGTCTGGCACCAGGGTATTTTCAGGGCACAGGCGAGATATCCTGACCATTTTCTAGACTGACACTCCCAAACTCTTTGTAGAACACCTCACTGGAGCCACCCGCTCAGTAGACACAGCATATGTAAATCCATGCTTTGTTTTCAAGCTGGAGCTACAGCCTTTCCTGGGAGAGAGATGCAATTTCTATCACTGCCTCTTAAGCTGTGTTGAAAGAACATGATGACAATACTGACAACTATATTTGAGTGCTACAGTGTGCCAATACTATGCTAAGTCTTATGTGCAATAAATACTATTATTTTGGGATTTTTTAAGTTTCAGAAACTGATGCTTGGTAAAATAAAGGTAGTATAAAATGGTGGTTAAAAACATGCTCTATAAACTGCCTCAGGGTGAATATCAGACTTATCACTTATGAGCCCTGTGACCTAAGGAAGTTACTACCTTCTCTGTGCCTCCTTTCTCATCATTAAAGAGTCTTTAAATTTTTATCTTTTTTTTTAAGAGAGAAACATTGGTTTGTTGTTCCACTTATTTAAACATTCATTGGTTGATTTTTTTATTTGCCTTGACAGGGAATCAAACTTGCAATCTTGGTGTATCAGTACCACTCTCTAAGCAAATGAGCTAAAATTTTATGTTAAAAGTATGGTTCCAGCCCCGGTCAGGTAACTCCATTGGTTAGAGCATTGTCCTGATACGCCAAGGTTACAGGTTCTAGCCCTGGATAGGGTGCATACAAGAAGCAACCGATGAATGCATAAATAAGTGAAACAAGAAATCAATCTTTCTCTTCTTAAAATCAATCAGTCCATAAATAAAAATTAAAAATAAAAGTAGAGTCCTGCCCCGGGGCGGTATGGCTCAGTTGGTTGAGTGTTGTCCCATGTACTGAAAGGTTGCCAGTTCAATTCCTGGTGAGAGCACATATCCAGGTTGCGGGTTCAATCCCCAGTTGGGGTATGTAGAGGAGACAATCAACTGGGTGTTTCTCTCTCTAAAATCCATTAGCCAAAAATGGAATAATTTGAGCATTACAAAAAATAACAAAGCAAGTGATTGAAAAATATAAAATACTAGAGGCCCAGTGCACGAATTCATGCCTGGCGGGGTCCCTCGGTCTGGCCTGCGGGATCAGGCTGAAACTGGCTCTCCAACATCCCCCAAGGGGTCCCAGATTGTGAGAGGGTGCAAGCCAGGCCGAGGGACTCCATTGGTGAATGATTGGGGCGGGGAGGAATGCCAGCTGGGGAAGGACCGCAGGAGGGCTCCAGGGCATGTCGGGCCTCTATCACTCAGTCCTGATCAGCCAGACCCCAGCAGCAAGCTAACCTACTGGTTGGAGCGTCTGCCCCCTGGTAGTCAGTGCACGTCATAGCAAGTGGTTGAGAGGCCTTAGCATATCATTAGCATATTACACTTTGATTGGTTGAACAGCTGACCAACGACTGGACACTTAGCATATTAGGCTTTTATTATATAGGATACTAAACCTCATTTATAATAATGCTAAGAACAACTCAGTTGTCATATCTGGAAGAGGCTAAGAAACTATTATTCTGAAAATTGATAAAGAAAAATTAAATCAAGCATTCTACTATCTTATATAAACTGTACATCAGAGTAACCAAAATTATGTGACAAAGTTCTGCACACGAGAAATTGCAGGTAACAAAGAAGGAATGACAGAATGCCACCATTTTCCAACCTCTAATGAAGTAATGGATCAAAGCCATCATCATCAATAGCTCCTAAAACCGCTGGGGAAAGTCCAGTGGGGAGATTTAATGATAGATCAGGTGACAACACCTGAACCCCCGAATCCATCTTAGTATCACAAAAAGAGCCAACAGGATATTGTTTACATTCTTGCAAATAAAAGACAAAATAAGTAAAGAAAACACAAACCAGAATTTAATCAAGCCTCTTTTAAAAATAGAGGGTAATTATGTTAGATAATACCATATGGAAAATTCTGTAAAACAAATGGCTCAGTTTCTTCCAACAACAAAAGGAAAAAAAAGGAGGAAGAGAAGCGATACCCATAGATTTACAGAACTTAAGTATATTTTAAACAAATGTAATGTTCAGACTCTGAAAAAAACACACACCAAACTTCATGATTTAAATAGATTATGAATCAATGTGAGATATTTAAACTCTGATGGACCACTTACTATTATAAGAAATTATCATTAATTTTCATGGAGTGGTAATGGTACCATGATTTTGAAGTGGGAGGAAGAGCCTGTTCATTTGGACACATACCAAAATAATTATGGGTGAAATTATATGATGTAATAAGCAGTGAACAGACATAATAAGGTTCTTCTGTATTCCTAATTGTTGAGGTTGGGTAACAAGTACATGGAGTTGTGTGTGTGTGTGGGGGGGGACTATAATAGTCTCCACTTTAGCATTTGTCTGAAAATTTCCATAATCAGAGTTAAAATATAAAAGGAGCACCCACCTTTATCTTCAAATTCCTTTACAACATCATTCATCCTATCTTGATAGAAGGACTCCCCCCTCTCTATTAAAGAGATGTCCAATGCATCGTAGATTTTATTAAACTCTAAGGAAAAATGTCACCAAATGAAGAAAATGGTTAAGAATTTAAACAAAGAGGAAACATGCATCTTACAGTAAAATAACTTTATTGTTTAATTAAACCATTTGGAAGGAAGAAAATTATATTTAAAAATGTATGATACAGAACATTATATGCATACTGCCATTTTGAAAATGTGGCAAGAATATGGAAAGACACACATCAAAATATTAATAGTGGGTGGGACTATAGGTAATGTTTTCTTTTTCCTGTCCACATTTACATTTTTCCTACAAAGAATATGTACTTTTGTAATTTAAAAAACTTTTATTTTTAAAAAAGAACAAAAGAAAGAAAAGCCTTTCCTACTTGAAGATCAAATATTTACTCAATTTCTTTTTACCTCTTCCTAATTTGTACCATTTAACTGACTGTCTAGCCATGCATCAGTGACACAATATTACCGACAGTAGCATTATAAAACATCTTACTACCTAGTGCTGCAAAACAGCCATCATTAGTTTTCCTTTTTAAAGGTTTACTAGCTATTGTTATTTACTTATTCTTCAGAGTGACCTTTACAATTACTTTGTCAGGTTTGAAAATTTGAAATTGTCTTATAATGACAAATGAATTTCAGTAAGTAGGGGACTTTGTATGATACTCTGTTCAAACATTCTATTACACCTGCTGTGTATTTCTCTTCGTTTCAGTTCTACACATCTCTGGATAAATTTATTCCCATGTGTTGTATAGCTTTGGTTGCTATGTGATCAGAGGTCTTTTTTTTTCTACTTTCTTTCCTAATTAATTTTTTTCTGATTTCTGAGAAAGTTTAATCTTCTACCTGCTTATCTTTTTTTTTTAAATAAGCAAGTTTCTATGCTTAAGAGCAGCATATATTTTTTTTATATTTTATTGATTTTTTACAGATAGGAAGGGAGAGAGATAGTTAGAAACGTCAATGAGAGAGAAACATCGATCAGCTGCCTCCTGCACACCTCCTACTGGGAATGTGCCTGCAATCAAGGTACATGCCCTTGGCCGGAATCGAACCTGGGACCTTTCAGTCCGCAGGCTGATGCTCTATCCACTGAGTCAAACCGTTACGGCCTGCCGGCTTATCTTAATAAACTTGCTTTAAAAGTCTATTTGCCAGTCCTTGAAAGCTTAACATGTCATTTAAGATCAAATCTGAATAAAGACTCAAGGAAACGACATGCAGCAGTCCTTGCTGAGTGAATGAACAAAGTCCAGAAACTCACCTTGGCGGGAGACATCACAGATAAGCTTCCAACCTTTTATGATATCTGGATCCTTACTCTGGAGCAGAACTACACACTGGTACGCTCGCTTCTTAAATTCCTCCTCAGTATCAAATCTCTTCTTGGATTCCTGTATTTAAATAAAGAAAAGTAAGGTTTATAAAAAGAGCCAAACCTGTATTCTAGATTAAGCATTTGTTCATTTCTCAAAATAACAAACAAAACCCACCAAAAAGCCAAAGAGTGAGGAAGTGAAAAGTTAGAACACCAGAACAAGTGGTCTATCTCATAGTCAAGAATACTGTTACAAACGAATGTGTCAAAGAATGCTATTATTTCTTTTGAAATCATTTTACTTGAAAATACAAAATTCTCATCATGTTACTACCTCTATCTTTTCTAATTCACAAAAGCCTACTCACACCCTTGCTTTTGTGTTTCAGTGGAAAAATAAATAATAGCTAGCAGGTAGGTCTGGTTTTACTGGACTCTATTTTCCGTTTAGATGTGGCCCTAAATATATATATTTTTTAATGGATTTCAGAGAGGAAGCGAGAGGGAGAGAGAGATAGAAACATCAATGGTGACAGAGAATCACTGATTAGCTGCCTCCAGCACTCCTACTGGGGATTGAGCCAACAACCTGGGCATGCGCCCTCTACTGGAATCGAACTCGGATCCCTTCAGTCTGTAGGCCGACACTCTATCCACTGAGCCAAACCAGTTAGGGCCTGAATATTTTTTAAAATTAAAAATAAAATTACTTTGACTATTTTATTTTAATTTTAAAAGCAACACTTATATATATATATACTAGTATATAGTTAGTTAATCCCACCCCAAACTAACCAGTAATAACAAAACTTTGGTATATAATTCTAGACATTTCTTTGTAAATACACACCTGTATGTTTTAACAAAAACTGGAAATACAGCACTTTTCTTTTACTATAGTTTTAACATTTTAGCAATGTAATATAAACATCTTCTTGCATTAATAGAGTTGCTTCATTATTCAGAGCACAGAACTCCAACAGGTAATTATAACATTAGCTATTTTACTTGTCTCATATCAGTAAACATTTTGGTTGTTTTCAATAGAAAACATTTACTAAAAGACAAAACAAAACAAAACCCAACACAACCAACAGAAAGCCCCACAAATGTTTACTTTTTTTTAAAATATATATTTTATTGATTTTTTACAGAGAGGAAGGGAGATGGATAGAGAGTTAGAAACATCAATGAGAGGGAAACATCGATCAGCCGCCTCCTGCACACTCCCTACTGGAATGTGCCCGCAACCAAGGAACATGCCCATGACCGGAATCAAACCTGGGACCCTTGAGTCCACAGGATGATGATCTATCCACTGAGCCAAATGGTTAGGGCATTTTTATTTTTTTAATGTAATAATCCTATTCTTGGGAAGTTAAGATAATTTTAAAAAGGAAAAAGAACTGTATGTACCAAGTTGTTCACTGAATAGATAAGAGCCCCCCAAAATGGAGGGGAAAATCAACAACAGATTAACAAACTCTGGTACACTAATCCAACAAAACAACATGCAGTCATTTTATAAAGTAACCCGAAAGAGTTTATAATAAAATGTTAAGTATAATACAAAATTATACTATAACCGGTGCACAAATTCATGCAAGGGTGGGGTCCCTTGGCTGGTTGACAATGGGGGGCGGGTGGAGGTTGGCTGTGGGAGCGCACTGAACACCAGGAAGCAGCTCCTGCGTTGAGCATTTGCCCCTGGTGGTCAGTACGTGTCATAGCTACCAGTCGCTTAGGCTTTTATATATTTAGATTACAAATAATGTAATAAATTTATGGATAAGTTAAAAAATCAAAGAAGGTTGACCACAGTGATTAATTTAAAGGTAGGATTTATGGTAAATTTTAGAAAAAAGAGTTTTTATGTTTTTAAAAGCTGATTTTAGAGAGAGGGGGGGAGACAGAAACATAAGTTGGCTGTCTCCTGCATGTCCCCTACTGGGGATCGAACCATAACCCAAGAATGGACCCCAACAGGGAATCAAACTAGCAAATTCTTAGTACATGGGATGATGCCCAACCAAGCCACACAGGCCAGGGCAGTAAATCTGTCTTTTAAAAACTGTTCTTCCAGCCCTGATAGGTTTGGTTCAGTGGATAGAGCATCGGCCTGCGGACTTAAGGGTCCCGGGTTTGATTCCGGTCAAGGGCATATACCAATAAAATATATTAAAAAACAAACAAAAAAACAAACAAAAACCTGTTCTTCCAGCCCTAGCTGGTTGGGTCAGTGGATAGAGCGTCAGCCTGCAGACCGAAGGGTCCCAGGTTTGATTCCTGTCAAGGGCACATGCCTGGGTTGCAGGCTTGATCCGCAGCAGGGGACATGCAGGAGGCAGACAATCAATGATTCTTTCTCATCATTGATGTTTCTATCTCTCTTTCCTTCTCCCTTCCTCTCTGAAATCAATAAAGATATATTTAAAAAATAAAAAAATAAAAACTCTTCTTCAATATACTTAACATTTTCAAAATATATAAAACTGATAAAACAACAGCATCAAAAACATTTTAAATACTGGGAGAGGGTGGAAAAATATTTTAAATACTAAAATGTATTTTGATTAACAAACTCCTAAACTCACTTAATAATAGGTAAAGTGGGAAAATTTAATTTTTAGCATACACCAATACAATAGCAAAGAATGTGTTAAAGGGTAGGGAGTTTAGCAACTTTTATTTAGGTCCACAGCAGCTTCAAATACCATCTAAACTCCCTAAGGAAAATGAATAATTATTACTTAATGGTAAACACACAAATAATGTAACAATAAATGATATCAAACCTTATAAAAGGCCTGCAGATCCCCAATAGGAGGTGAAACTGTTAGGTAATCTGGAAATTTATCCTGCAGGTGAGCGATGAGCATGCCAAACTGGGTTCCCCAATCTCCTATATGGTTTAATCTGATACCAATCAGAGAACAAAATTTTAAAATGACAAACATTAATATTTAGGTGCCTGTACATCCAGTAACACAGACTGCATACAACAGGTCTCCAGGGTTTGCTGAATGAATGAAGTCTCTATCAAGACTGTGATCTGCTTATTGTGTAGTTAACTGGGACAATGATAGTTGAGCCAATGTTGGTCATTATAATTTTATGAAAATTTAACTTTTGAACCAATTATCTCAGTGTAATTTGTACCGCTGGTTCTCAAATGTCAATGGACAAAATTCTTCAAAACATGCCAATCGAACCACTTCTCATCCCTGTTTTTAACTAGTCTCAAACCACCACATCACATCTTAACTGGATTACAATAGCGTTCTAACTTATTACTATAGTAATTCCTCCTTTGCCTGGTTTCTTCACAGAAGCCAAAGTAATGTTTAAGTAGATTATAGACACACCTCATTTTATTGTGCCATGCTTTATAGCACTTCACAGGAGTTGCATTTTTTTATTTACTTATTTTTTTTTAGAGAGAGTGAAAGGGAGGGGGAGACACACATACAGAAACATCAATATACACAAGACAAACAAATTGGTTGCTGGGGATCAGGCCTGAAACAAAGGTATATGCCCTTGACCAGAATAGAACCCGTGACCCTTCAGTCCGTGAGCTGACGCTCTATCCACTGAGCCAAACCAGCTAGGGTGAAGTTGCATTTTTTAAAAATCGAAGGCAAGACCCTCCACCAGCAAAAAGATTATGAATAGCTTTACTGTGGCACTGGCTCTATTGTGGTGGTCTGGAACTGAACCTGCAGTATCTCCAAGGTATGTCTATACTTGGTTCTACTAATTAAGACTCTCCAGTCGCTTCCTATTACACTAAGGAATAAAATCCTGATTTCCTGCCATGGCCTGCAAGTCCCTTGCCTACCTTTCCCCGTATTGGAATATAAACCCCTACTATACCGGAGGCACTCAAGAAATACTTGTGGAATGAATGGGGCCGGGGGTACCTTTTCCTTGGTTCCACCCGCAGTTACTAGTTCAGAGAGGCCCAGGACATAATTTTTTAAAAAAGCCTACTGATGATTAAGAGCAGAACCACACTCATAAAACACTGATATAGTCAAAGATTTTTTCTCAAGTGACATTTGTCATTTGCTATAGAACTTTCCAAAGGCAAGAGTATATACCTTAGCACATCATATCCTGCAAATTCAAAGAGGCGGCACATGCTCTCTCCTATGATAGTTGACCTGAGATGGCCCACGTGCATCTCTTTGGCTATGTTGGGAGAGGAAAAGTCAACTACAACCTGGAATAAAAAATAAAAAGAGAGATTTTTATTGATAACAATGTTGTACTATAATTATGTAATGTACAGGTACAGAGGCAATCACATCACAACATATCATATAAATAAATCAAAGCAACACATACACATTACATTTGCACAATGTTATATATCAAATACATTCAATAAAAATAAATTTTTAAATGGGGAAGAAACATTTTATTCTGCTAACACATTCATTAATAACATGTAATAACAAACTCAGACTTAAAATAATAGCTTGGCTTATACTTCAACTGCGTTGTTTTTCTGATGAATCTACCTGTCCATAATTAATTGAATTTGTTTATACAAATTCGTTTATACAAATTATCTATGCTTTGTTTCAGCAGTATCTCAAAAACATCAGCTGGTTGCTTCAAATGCCTTATGAAATAAAGTGAAAAGAAAAATCATGTAACAAGCAAGGTCCAGGAAAAAGGCTACGCTGAGTTTTGCTCATAATCTCACATATTAGTGATTAAATCTCAGTATGGGAAGTAAAAGCCATTCCCAGTTACAGCACTTTTCATAGTCTTAAGTATTACATTAGTATATGAATTAAAAATTGTACATATATCGCCCTAGCCGGTTTGGCTCACTGGATAGAGCGTCGGCCTGGGGACTGAAGAGTCCCAGGTTCGATTCCGGTCAAGGGCATGTACCTTGGTTGCGGGCACATCCCCAGTAGGGGGTGTGCAGGAGGCAGCTGATTGATGTTTCTGACTCTCTATCCCTCTCCCTTCCTCTCTGTAAAAAATCAATAAAATATATTAAAAAAAAAATTGTACATGTACCTTTTTGTTCTCTCCAAGGGCAGGTAGTTGAACACCATTCACTAGGAGATTGGTCAACTGCTTTGATACAAAGTTCTTTCTTAAGTGGACATTAATAAAACCTAATGAACAGTAGAGAGAAAAAAAATCAGCTAGCCTCCTATCGTTAAGAACTGCTTTTTCCCAAAGACCTCAATTTCACTTATGCTGGCTCCACAGAGCTAATCTGGCTTTGGCAAAACTCTTCGGGATTCCAGGACCACTTGGGGCCTTGACTTGAGGCCCCATGTCAGCTCCGTTTCAGCATTTTTTCCAGACCTTACCACTGTCCTGAGAGCTGACTTAATTCAGGGCCCCTTCACTCGCAGCAAATGATTTGTTCACCTCTGAACAAAAAATAGACAGCCTTTTAGCCGTAGACTTATCTGCCATTGTCTACCTTTTTGCTGAAGAAAAACTGAATCATGGAGAGGTAAAGGAACTTCACCTAAGATCAGGCAGCTAAGTCTAGACTAAAACCTCGATTTCCTAACTCTCAATCCAAGGTGCTTTCACCATCTTGTTCAGTATACAAGTCTTAATCCTACATTTATATTTAACAATGGTTTTCATTTTTATTCCAAAAGGGCTCAGCATCAATACAACGACTTAAGAAGGGTAACATTGTCATACCAGGACCAGCAATTTCAACTTTTTCAATATATTCATTGTCTGGGAGGTGTTTGGTAATGTTTTCGGCAATTTCTCTTGGATTAACTCTCTGTTCCTTGGTTTTGAGCATCTACAATACAATACAAAACGATTCATTACACACTGGGTTTCGGCAAGTTACTCAGAAATGCACAACTGACAAAGCATTAGATGCATATGACACAGACCAATCAAAAGGCAGAAGCGGAGAAGTCCAATGACCTTGTACATGGACAGACTAAAGCATCAAGTATCAACAGTCTCAAGAGGAATACAAAAGTGCCCAAACCACGTGACCTCCACTTCAGAATGAGTTGCCACACACGTCTATAACAGTTTTACAGACATTAGTTATTACTCTGTTTCCAAGATAGTTACATTTCTAATTTTCAAATTACGAGTGTGCCAATATGCAGACTTGGGTAATAACAACCACCCTTATAAACTTGACCCCAATGAAGACACACCTTATCTTGGGGGAGGGGGCCAGGGAGAGGGAGGGATCTGAACTCTAGCTGAACCCTTTCTATTCAACAAAGAAAGGAAAGCGAAAATGCCCAAAGTTGGGCAATTAACCACAAACACATTAGCCAAGGCAGCTGTTAAAAACAGGGAATACTGACTGGAAATGAAATCCATCAGCCCACCTCAAAGACACCACAGTTGCCTCAAATATTGGATGGAAATGCCGGATGGTAAATGGCTAACTTTTACTCCCTCACCTTCTATCACTCACCAGTAACACCCAGCAACCCTGGCTGCAACAGGAGGGAAGTACAAAAACAGAACAGTACCTACTACTGCCCTTAAATATTGAGAATATTTATAAAATTTAACTGAATATTCATATCTGTGCTTTTTTAAAAATTAAAAATGAAATCCCTTTTCTCAAGTTTTTCAGAATTGTGGGATATGTTATTTTTGTTGAGGAAACAAAAATTTGCTATTATTTATATAGAAGGTAATAAGGAAGCTAATGTGTAAGAAATCACATCACTCACCTGAGAGATACCCATAGCACTGTTACACTGATAGTCCCCAAACTTGGGCTGCTGACTTGGTGTCACTAGTAGAGGAGGATTTTCCAAATCTGGATACGCAGCCTTAATGGCACAGCCAAAGACCTCTTGTAGGCGGCGATTGATGTTAATCATATTTTTAGTTGGTCTGTTCCTTTCTGCTTGAAGACTCTGGGGCGGAAAAAAAAGAAAATATGTCAATAAAATATTAAATTATCATAAAAATTTTCCCAAATATCTCGAGAAACCTTCAAATACCTTGAGAAGACCAAAGGTAACATACACTCACACCGCGATGCTCTCCAATCTGAGGTATGCTAGGAAATGTAACAGGACAAGTCTATCCCATAGAACATGTAAGACAGAAACAGGAAATGCCCCAAGCTCTCTTTCTATAGTTATTTTATCAGAACAGAAACTGAGAGAAGGAAGTATGAAGAGTTGACCAAATCTTCTTCTTAGCTTCTCTAAAGTTCTGAAAAAATAGTATAAAATTTGACATATATAAAAAATGCTGGCAGTAAAAACTCTATGGACAAAAACAAGTAAAAAAAACTTTGTAAAGTATATGATTATCTCACCAATATGCTGTACACCTGAAATTAATACAAAATAATGAACTGTAAAGTGTAATAATAATAGTAAAAAAGGTATTCATGTTGTCTCTTAATTAAAATGTTGACCTCTTCCTCACGAAATGTGATAGGTAATATCGAAATATCAGAAAAGCAGGTTGTTTTGTCTTACTGTTAAATAATCCCATGTTGGACTACTCCTACCTCCTACTTCTCATTTTCTGTGAAGTGGGATACCTTCATTTAAGATGGTATATAATTAGTTACCTCTATTACTACACTTACCACACCTTCTCAGAATTATGTGTCTCCACTACCAGACTCCTGGAGGAAGGAAAAGCACTTATTCATGGCTCCTTCCCTGACACCTAGCACTGCACCTGCTATGCAACAGGTAAAAAAATGGTGACTGAACTTATATGCTTTTAATGGAATACAAATAAAAACGTTGCCCACACACTAGTCATAATTTTATGTTAATCAAAATGTCAATAACAATGGCAAAAATGATAAAAGCTGGGATTTGAGTAGCACTGTGTCAAGAACTGGGCCTAGCCTGGCCTGTGCTGCTCACTGGTTGAGCATCAACCTATGAACCAGGAGGTCACGGTTCAATTCCCAGTCAGGACTCATGCCCGGGTTGTGGGCTCAATCCCCAGTAGGGGGTGTGCAGGAGGCAGCCGATCAATGATTCTCTCTCATCATTAATGTTTCTCTTTCTCTCCCCCTCTCCCTTCTTCTCTGAAATCAATAAAAACGGATTTTTAAAAAAATATCCTACTTCATCTTAAAGACAGATAAGGACAGCTTAATGGAAAGGGGATGAGGAAGAGTTGAAGCTGCCGAGTTAATGAAAACAGCGGTAAAATGCCTCTGAGATAAACCATCCAATAAGTGTTTCTAAGTCAGAGCACATGGCAGAATGCTCCAGGAACAGAAGTGGGGTGAATGGGCGTCCCACACAGTGCTGTTTCCCTTCTTGGCTTGCTGTTTTCTGTTGTGTACCTTGTGTTCAGCTCAGGAGCTGTTACTCAGTAGACCACAGTATCTGTGAAAGAACCGCCGTGCCGCCCACATTACACTGGCAGCGTTCTCATACTTACACACTAGAGCTAATTTGTATCAGGGACATGTGCATTAGAATACACTGCACGGCCTTTTGTATCTTTTACATAGTCATGAGCACATATTAGGCACTTAATACTTTTGAACTGAAAAAAAAAAAACAATAGAGAAATGAGTATCAGTAAGTGTGGAAAGAATGAGGCAATGACAAAGGTAAGGTATTTTGGGGAAGATTCCATGGAAAAGGAATTTTGTGATTTTAGAAGACAGAAGGACAAAGCTATCTGAAGCAGAACAGAGCACACAGAGGCAACAGAAGATTTCATGAGAGTAGGGCAGGCAGAGTCTGAGATGAATAAATGGGACCGACTGGAAAAGACACCGTGCCAGTCAGCCCGGCTCAGAGTAGTACACACACAGGAGAACATGCATGGGAGTGAGGTCCTCCCCGAGGATGTGTCATCAAGCAGACCCGAAAGGCAGGCCAAAAAATTAAACCCAACAGAAGCAAGCTAAAACTTTTTGAACGAAACTGATAGACACTATTAGATGGTGAGGTCAGTAAGTAACAAAGACAGCACAAGCTTCATGGAAAAAAATTGTTCAGAAATATTAAGTTGGAAAAGGAACCCAACCACTATGACACTATAAAATATAAAAATAAAATAGCAAAATAACCAACTTGGGGCAGAAGAGGACTGTGAATGTATTTTGAAACATTTCCCATTGACTGAGGCACTTACTTAAAATTCAAAAAGTATCCTGTTAAAAGGCACTGCCAGTGTAATGTGGGCGGCACGGCGGTTCTTTCAAAAAGTAAACTGTTAAAAAATAATGTCTTGCCCTAGCCGGAGTGGATAGTGTCGGCCTGCGGACTGAAGGGTCCCAAGTTCGATTCCGGTCAAGGGCACATGCTCAGGTTGCGCTCCGGGGTTGCGGGCTCAATCCCCATACCTGTTTTGCCCTGGCTGGTATGGCTCAGCTGGTTGGAGTATCGTCTATACATCGAAAGGTCCCAGGTTCCACTTCCAGTCAGGGCATATGCCCAGGTTGCAGGTTCAATTCCTGATTGGGGCAGGTGTGGGAAGCAAGCGATTGATATTCTCTCTCATCGCTGATGTTTCTCTCTCTCTCTCCCTCTTCCTTCCTCTCTGAAATCAATAAAAATACATTTAAAAAAAGTCTCAAAAAAAAAAAAAATAAGAAGTCTTAACTTGAAGCTAGCCAAACATTCAGGACGAGGAAACAGATTTCTAAGAGCCCTGGAAGGCAAATTGTCCAAATTCCTCAGAGCCAACTTTCCGAATCTTCAATAGCAAGGAGTTCTAAAGAGAGGCAATCACTCAAACGGTAGAATGAAACCAGAACCAGGGGCCTCACCTTTCGCAGGATATTCAGTCGATACTTTAATTTTAAGTTTTCTTCCCGCAGCTGCTCCAAATTCGGAGAAGCTTCTAAACAGCCACCGTTTTTCAGCCGATCAATTTCAGCCGTCAGAGACTTGATCTCTCTTTCCTGTAAAAGAAAAGGCACTTTGTTCGGCCCGTAGGACAGATGGCCTCCGTGCTGTAATCCGCTGGACCGTCAACTCACTTCCTCCTTTCCCCTCTCCACCCGGCACGGGCAGGGCAGGGCAGAGGCGATAGGGACGGAGGACTTTCCCTTTGGTAAGTGGGGACAGTCCTTCCTCATGCTCTTTGATGACATCAGCACCTTACCCTTGACAATATGGAAAACTTGGGAAAGAAAAAACACGAGTGTGTAGCACACGACGGGGCAGGCCTCACATCCCAGGTTTCTTTCTTTGGCCCAAGTGTTTGCCTTTTGCCCTTTCCG